CCCCGGAGCAGCGCCGGAGACCCTACCGGGAGTGTAGCACGGACCTCAGCATCTGAGACCTCCCCGTGAAGGTGCGAGGAGAGGACGCAGACCGAGATAAACTGGGTTCTTATCCAAGGAAGCACTGACGCCCGTGGTCCCCGCCCGAGTGGGGACAGACATGTTATGCATTCGAAATCTTACAGGAAAAACAATATGAAAAGTGTTGTGCCTGATGTATAATATTAAAGAAAGTATTTTTAAATGCATACCTTTTTTGGAAGTTATTTGCCAAAAATTGGCCCAAAGGGATATACATTTTGTTTTTCAGTAAATAGCATTGTTAAGTATTCCCTTTGGGGGGGCAGTCTTTTCCCTCCTGGTGAAATGGGGCTGTTGTTGGTCATTTTCTCAAAGTAAGGGAAATTATTTTGTTTAACTTGATGTAGACTGTTATGTAGTGACATAGTGTTAATACTGTAGGCGGGAGTTCTTCTTAAAAGCAAAGAGCAAGAAGTCAAACTTCTACTTGTAAAAACAGGACCTTTTGGGATGGATAGGATCACCGGTGATCCTGAAATGAAGCAAACTATATGACGAGACTACTGTTACGAATGAAGGATATTTATAGCTAAACTGCACCGCACAAAGGATGTTTATGTTCCTGAGTCATAGTTGGTTCAGAACAGCTTGTACTCTCCCTGGCCCAGGAAGGCATGCACACCGGAAGGTTGCCACTACTAGCCAAGGGCAGCCTGCCGCCCAACTGCCAGGTCCCTTAGCATCTCGCCTTTGAGTAGGATCCTGTGAATGCAGGGTCTCTGCAGCTCTGCTCAGCTACTGGAACGGACAGACAGCAAGGACTGCAGAACGCAGCAGGAAGTAGGGCAGGGTGCTGGGTGTGACGGAGGCCTGAACATCCCAAACCGGAGGCGTGCTCCCCTCTAGCACAGGCCCTGGCTAGGGAATGAGCTCTCCTGGGGGAACCTCCTCTCTCCTGATGTTTGAAGAGCTGAGTGCTGGGTCTGCTCACTGCTAGAAGTTGAGTTCGATTGTCAGAGAGAGAAGGAAAGGTCCCTGTGGCTCCAGGCCTGTTTGGGAAACCTCTGCCATCTTGACCCTGTCCTTTGTGTCTGGATAGAAGAACAAAACTTAACGATTTTTCTTTTTAAAGAAACCCACTGTTTTCTGACCCCTCAGGAGTGTGGTTGGGTTGGAAGCCCAGGATGTGGTTTAAATGGATTACTGCCTAGCTGAGCCAAATGTTTGCTTGTTCCTGTTGGACCACTACAGCAAACCACTGCTTGCAGTGTGTTGTGTATTCTATATACTGTTTCACATCTTCCGTACAGACACAAACCTTCGCAAGTCAATCACTGTTGTTCCCATGGTACTGTATTTTTTTAAAAAAGGAAAAATAAATAAAACCAGCCAATCATTGTGTGTACAGTTAAAAATTGTAATTAATAGAGCCTGTTTAAAAAAAACAACTGTTGCCTTTTTTCTTGTATAAAAGAGAATTTATAAAACAATTCAGCTGTGAGGAATGTGATATGTGTTTATATTTCTGAATATGAGCAAACTGATTTATGGGGGTATATTTTAATGTAAACTAAATCAGGTATGTAAAGTTGTTTTAAAATGGGAGACTATATAAGTGATTCTCTACAGCTTTAGTTGGTTTGGTGTCATCTTCCTCCATGGTGAGCCTGCCTGTGAATTACTAAGCACTTGTTCACATTCTCTGTTCTTCACTCACTTACTTCCTGCAGTGTGCTATGGACTTAATGCTCTTTCTGTATTGATGAGAAGCAGTATGTGGGCCCATCTTTTTATAAAACACTATGCATATATAAATATTACATTGTTCATAGCTTTATTTGACTTCTGAGTTTATAGATAATATTAGAATAAGTAGCTGTAGTTGTTAGATGTTTAAAAAGCAAGTTCCTTTCTTGGGGCAGACACAGTGTACATTCTGTAACTAAAGAAGGAAAAAGGATGAATGCTATTTTTATCATCAGAATTTTCCATAGAAAGCATACATTGAGCTGTAGTAGTAAGACAAGGAAGAGTACAACTAAATAGCAATGCTTTTTCACCAGTTTCCTAAGAGCCAACTTGGAGGTTTTATTCCTAAAACTCCACTGCTAGAATTTTTCTCACTAGTTGTTGCACAGTCTGGGATGTGAACAACTGACACTCTCAGTTTTGGTCCAGGATTTTAACCAAGTGAAATCAAGGTGAGTTTTCAAGTGCATCCTGGAGTTAACATTTTGATGTCTTTCTGTTGGAAGAGACAATATTTGACATTTCTAACCTATTCAATCCACTGAGCTTGCCTCAGTTCATGAGGACTTTCGGTGTGGCAATTTTTTCCTTAATTCCATACATCAGATTTGCTTTGGAAATACTGTACTGTACATGGACTATTCATTGAGCAGAAAAATACAACTTTAAACTACTATAACCTTAAATTGGAAATTAATTC